TATATATTATACACTATATTTTATACATTTTAATAAATTAATACAAATTATTAAATAAGCAAGTTATGTTGTTTTTCAACCTATACTTAAGTAACCATCTGTAACTTAGCTATAGTTTTGAGAAAAAAATGCTTTATCAGCCTTGAATGAACTCAAACTGGCTTTAATTTGAGCCCTTATTTACGATTCACAAAACTAGAAGCTTCTTCAGTATATTGCATTATATCACAACTTGAACTTTTATGCAAATAGTTTAGATTTCTCAGAATAGGCTTTGCTTCTCCATTTAGTGTAAGGTTCACACTAAAAATGAATATTAGTAAACACAGTTATCTCTCCTCTATTTGTGGTATTCAGCTGTAAATGACTGCTAACCTGAGGCCATTTTCACTACCGTCATTATGTCATTGTGAGAAACCTCACCATACTTGATGGGGAAAATCAAGTGGGCAATCGTAGCCCAAAATCACCTTTACAGGACCGGGAGCCCCTGGGAAACTGCTGAGAGGAATGGAAACGAGGCAGTGTCATAATTCATTACAGAGATCCAAGAGCGTTCAGCTGCATTAAACTGATTAGTCATCTGTTCATAATAGTCCATTATCACCAATTTTGAGTCAATGATTTAAAGTAGCAAGGTTTAGTATGAGCAGTTGTACTGCATACTTGAATCAGTTGGGTTGCTTTGGTTTATTTTGAACAGATTGTTATTCAGATCCTGCCATGAGAAGGTTAAAGTACATGATTTATTCAAACATGTATGGCTTTCTGAAAATATCCCATTAACTTTCACTGTATAGGACAAAAACAGTTCTTGTTCTTGTATGAACGACATAAGGTTGCGATCTGGAGTGCATGAACATTTATACTTGTAATTTAGTTATCTAGTCTAATATTGTATCCCTAGTTGGACATTTCAGGTAGTTTTTCTTCTTCATCGTTCTTACATTTACATTGGACCATGCAAAGAAACCACGAGCAGTTCTAACCACATCAGCTCTTGTGAAACAAGACACTTCAAATATTAGCTGAGTTCTGGTCAAAAGACACCACTGTCCCTTTAACACACAATGAAGTCTTATCACAGAGTGGAGCGTCAACACCTCATACAATTCAGCTATGAGAGAAGGCCACTATCCCTGAGAGCACTTGTTCTTTTGTGACTGATAAAGACTGGAGAAGTTAAATTTGGGCAGGGAGATGCACAACTGGAAGCAAAGGTTTGATTTGTTTCCGACAGACTGCAAGTAAGCCAGATTAAAGCCCATGCACGAATGCAGGAGAGGCCTATTGTCTCTGTACATAAAACTAGTGTGAAAACTAGTGTGGGATGGACTTTGAAAGCACTGTTTTAGATCCCATGCACTAATGCAATACATTATCTTGTGTCTTTTATTCTAAACTCAACCTGATTTAATTGCAGGTATTGTGCCCAGCAGGCCTGAATAACTTCTTTTGAGACTCAAGTCAAAAGGCAAAAAAGAGAAGATGGAGGAGATTGCACAACGGCGGGCTTCTCGGTAGAAAAGGAGCTTAGAAAAGGACAATTACACCACATGAAGGCCTCCTAGAGTCCTGGGATGGATGTTGTGCTCTTTCTTGGGTGAGCATGGAGATCATGCATATATGTATACAGATGGATATGCTCAGCAGCAAGTTTTTTTAATGTTTTCGAGAGATGTTTCTTCTGCTCACAAAGGCTACATTTATTTGATAAAAAATACAGTATAAACAGTAAAATTGTGAAATATTATTGCAATTTAAAATATCAGTTTGCTAAGTGAATATCTGTTAAACTGTAATTTATTCCTGTGATCAAAGCTGTATTTTCAGCATCATTACGCCAGTCTTCAGTGTCACATGATCTTCAGAAATCATTCTAATATGCTGATTTGCTGTTCGAGAAACATTTCTGATTACTATTAATGTATATTTTTGTGGACACCGTGATGCATTTTTTTCAGGATTCTTTGATGAATAGAAAGTTCAAAAGAACAGCATTTATTTTAAATATAATTTTTGTAACATTATTAATGTTAGAATGCAAAATTGTTAGTATTAGAATGATTTCTGAAGGATCATGTGACACTGAAGACTGAAGGCTTATATTTACACATGGCAACAGCTCATATTTTATTTCCTTTTAATTAGTTGTGATCATATAGCTATTAATGAGGCCTAAGTGAATTAACGACAGCGTCTGTGAAGTACTGAAGCCATGCCAGACAGAAAGGTAAAATCTGCTCAGTTTTTTTTCTCCTTAGACAGGAAGAAATGTGCAAGTCGCTGCATTTTTTTCAGGATTCTTTGATGAATAGAAAGTTCAAAAGAACAGCATTTATTTTAAATATAATTTTTGTAACATTATTAATGTTAGAATGCAAAATTGTTAGTATTAGAATGATTTCTGAAGGATCATGTGACACTGAAGACTGAAGGCTTATATTTACACATGGCAACAGCTCATATTTTATTTCCTTTTAATTAGTTGTGATCATATAGCTATTAATGAGGCCTAAGTGAATTAACGACAGCGTCTGTGAAGTACTGAAGCCATGCCAGACAGAAAGGTAAAATCTGCTCAGTTTTTTTTCTCCTTAGACAGGAAGAAATGTGCAAGTCGCTGGGCTACTTATAGACGCCTTACATAACGCAGAAAAACAAGTGGGTTATCGCCACCCACCCTCCAGCCGTTTAGGAGGTTAAACTGTAGCTGTGAGGTTTTGAGCAGCTCTCCGCTGGCTCTCAGCGCAGCCGCTTTGACGAACTGTTTGATATGTAATGCTGCTTCTCTGAGCCCCATTAACGCTAAATGATTCTGAGAACAGACGCACAAAGTCATCGTGATAATTGTCTGCGGATGAGAACAGATAATGGCCCTCTCAGAAATGTGGTTTTGAAATAACATGTTTTAGGAGCCGCGTCTTGTAAACATGTCCATTGAGCTCCTCAGAAACCATTAAATTATTATTTAGTAATTCAGCAACTGTATGATACGGGCAGACGGGGCTATTTGTGACACTTTTTACTCCAGTGAATATTTATCAAGGTGGGATTATTTTGAAGTCAGCTTCTGTATAGACCATAAAGTCAACGAAAAAAAGTCGTCACAATGGAATCTGCCATGGCGCGCTTAGAAAAATGTGAATAAAACGGCACATAACTGTCAGGAGATGAATAGTTTCGATGGTTTGAAACTAATATCCTTTGTGAAAAAAGAAGCGTGCTTGAAGGTGCACTTGTAGCGTACTTCAAATCTTAAAAGTATTTTTAAAAGCTGTACTTGCTTACAATACAACATTAATGAAATAAAAGGCTACTTAAGTGGCAGAGAGTCATTTTCATGACTGTTTCTTAACACACTTAAGTAGACTTTTAAAAAGTGCACTTTGTAATGTCTAATTAAAAGTTTTACTTTAACGTACATTTTAATTGAACGTTTTATAATACAAACACTTTTGTCATGCTTTTAAGAAGTGCACTTATTTTAATGTGTTGACTAACATTCTAAAGCAATTGTATCTATAGATATAACATATGCTAATGTAATTGTAAATAACATGCAAATAAGTGTCTGAAAACATTACATTCTGTTGCACTTAAGTATATTCTTTTTAAAAGTTTAGTGTT